GAAATCGGTCATTTAGGTATTTAAAAGGCCCTTTAATTAAAATATTTCGAATAGACGTTAAAAGGGTTTAGAAAAGGAGGTGCAGTGTTCTAAAGTAGGTATGTGAAAGGGATTACCTTTTTCCAATAAATGGTATATAAAGGGGGTACCTTTTCTGCCAAAATGGTATTTAAAAGGGTAAGGAGTTGGACCTCAGGGCGGAGCCTCCCCGTATTAAACTTTGTTAAGTACCCCCCCCCCGGGGGGGGACAGTGCTAAGGAGCTTGGGCCGGAGAATGCTTTCTTTTTTCATATAGACTCTTAAGAGGTCCCGGAAAACTGTATCCAAACATTTCAAAGTTGGCTCTGAACATCCAACCAAGAATGTCAATCCATTCTAAAGGAATCTGCGAGTAATACTCAAGTAACGAGGCAGATGTATCCGAAGCTTTTTTCTTGTATGTAAACCGTTTTGCGTCCTCTCCAGATATGCCTGCTGCTGCTACCAAGTCTGCTAAATCTTCCTCCATTGTTTCATAGTGTCCTATAAAGTCATATTTGATGGCACACATTGCACAAAAATTCGCGTAATTATCCCAGTGGAAGTCCATGACTGGGGTGGTCTCGTTGCTTCCTTTGGTTACCAAATATTGAATAAATTCACGAAAAGTAATGTCGTCGAGCCTCGTTAACGCTTGCCGTGTGGCGTTTGGACAGAAGTTCTTAAGAATTTCCCTACCGTGAAATTCAAGAATTGGGCGGTCTACTCGTCTTAGATGAACAAACTTGTCTTTGTACGCTGACAGAATGCGCTCGAACGGTTCACGAACAAACGTGAACTTGAAATATGTTTCCAACATCATGGTGAGCTTGTCTGCTGGTAGTGGCCATAACCTCGGTACGTTTATCCCACGAACTCCTGGAAACAACATCAGCCTGATTTCTCGACTGGCACATTTTGGTGTGATGCAATAGATTACTTTAAGACTCTCATTCACCGATACATGGCGAGGAAGAGGTTGTGTTTCAAGACCAACTTTCCCGGTTCGCTTGCAAAAATTTTCAATCAATTTTTTCCGTTCTTGCTGTCTTAATTGTCTGGAGTGAAACCCCTGAAACAGACAGAAGCAATTGAAGTCAATTTCCAGGAACTGATGATTTATCAAAGGAACAAAATACGAGGAGCTCTGTATGGGGGAATATTGACTTCGTCATTTGAGCACTAGCGTGACTTCAAATTTAGTAATTTCACATTTATCTTATTTTTGATTGGTTCGTTTTAAGCATGCGCCGACAGGGGATTATTTGCTCTGGTTTGCTATAAGCTTGCCTTGTGAGACTGAATATCCCGGAGTGGGAGAAAATCCCATATAAATAGGACATGGCGCTCGTAGGAAATTTTGAAAGAACCCCTAAGAGGTCCTAAGATCCTGCTTTGTGAGCGTGGCTTAACCTAAGAGGTACCAACACTAAAACAAAACATTATCTTGAGGAAATTTTCAAGATAGAAATTTTTTCAAGGTAGAAACATCAACTCGGAAAAAAATCCGAGTTCCAGATGGGATTTGAACCCACGACCCTGCGTGATCTATTCGGATGTTCTAACCACTGAGCTATTGGAGACTCTATGGTGAGCACGGGTGAAATGTGCGTCTTTGACTGGAAGCGCATCGCGCGGTCACACAGCCAAATGATGTCTAGGCGCACATGAACTCACTAACTACATCGCGCAGTCACATTAAGGCATATCAAAGATGCAACCAACCACCC